TTCAGCAAATTTTCAAGAAACCACCAACTGCATATCAATGAACCGCAAACACTTGTGAAACAAACTTTTCCCATTGCTACATCAGGCCGAATGATTCCAGCTAGAGTGTAATCAATTGACGATTGGTAAAAGTAAACAAAAAAAAAACATCGCGCATATAGGTACGAGAATAGAATCAAGTTTTCTAAGTTTAACTAATTCGTTTTAATTTACTTTAAATAGCAACAAACAATAAAATTGGAATAAATCATTAGTATAACAGAAAAGTGAAAAGTTATTTCGAGCTGATTATATTTAAATACACGTACGGTAGGTAGCAAGCAGACAAGCACTTGGAGGGCAAAATTACATTTGATAGGTAGAACATTTAGCCCAAGACTTGTTTTTCAATTTATACATTGGTCGAGAAAGGTGTATCTAATGTTAAAAAATGCTTGTGGAATTATAAAAACTTATCAAATTTAATAGAGAAAAATGTTCAACAAATTACCCGGTTCAACAAAATTTGGACGAGCTTTATTTCGAAAATGGAATTGACCTCATCTTATAATTTTTTTTTTTTATCCTCACTTTAAATCCATTTACGAAATGTTGAAGTGTCGAAAAATGGCCAATTTCACAAATTCAAGAAAAAAACTTTAAACGTTGTTTTCTTTGTACTATTTATTTATTAATGAAAATCCAGAGTAGAAATGAGTGCAAAATTCCCGGAAAGTTAAAAAAAGTGATTTTTATAGAAATCCTTGCAATTTGATATTTTATTTAAACTTGCTTGCCTGATGTCAGAACGAATAAGAATGAAACTAAAAATCGAAAAAGAATATTGTTAACATTTAAAACAAATACATACCTGCTATTGAAGAACTGATTTTTTTTTACTTTTCCGCGATTCTTTCAGCCACATGAGCTAGAATCCATAGGACGAATTGTATTTTTAACAGACTTTAAAAAAGGAAGACGGTTATAAGTTCATCGAAATATTTTTTCATGTACATATGTTATCGGATAACTTTGAACCACGTCTTCCGATTATTCTTTTTTTTTGTGAGAAGGTTGTATTTTTTGGCTTAAAATTTACTTGTTATTTACAGGCGTATTTCTGAAATTTACCGTTATATGATGGGGATGGTAATTTTAGTCCGATTTCAAAAATTTTCAACATATCGTTTCTTTGAGCCAAGGTTAATAAATGTACCGATTTCGGTAGAAATTGACAAACCGGTTACCGAGATACACATATACATATAGGCGTAAGTGGGTGGTGTCACGCCCATTTTTTCCAAAAATTTCCATAAGTAGCATTTTCTGCTGAGAGGTCATTGAATATATTGATTTTGAGTAAATTAGCTTACACAATTACTGATTTATCGCAGTTTTCGTATTTCTGTAAATAACCGTTATATGGGATGGGTGGGCGTGATTCTTGTCTGATTTATGATGTCAAAGGGTGTCTTAGTGAAGCTCTAAGCAATGTTCGTACCGAGCTTGGTGGAGATTGGTGAAGGGAATACAGAGATACAGCATTTCATAGTAAGTGGGCGGTACCACGCCCATTTTCAAAAAATTGCATAACTGTCTCATTGTATGCCAAAATTATACTTCGCGTACCAACTTTCAACAATTTGGATCCAGTATTTACGGAAATATCGTAGTTCTTGCATATTTCGAAAATACCGTTATATGGGAGGTAGGCGTCGTTATTATCCGATGTCGCCCCTTTTCAATCCCAACCTACCTTGGATAAAGGGAAACTTACCTACCAAATTTCGTGGGCATATCTCAATTTTTTCCCGAGTTATCGTGTACACGAACAGACGGACGGACAGACGGACGGACGGACAGACGGACGGACGGACAGACATGGCTTAATCGATTTCTCTTTTCATTCTGATCATTTATGTATACATTTGTCTATACAAATTCGGCTGTTACAAACAACATATTCTTATTCACATCCGACTTCGTATTCGATTTCGTTTTAAAATTTCTCGCAACTGTCACACAATTTCCGTAGCCATTCCAAATTGCACGGTTAAACTCCACCGAATTTGAGTCTGAATTCAATTTTTAAAGCTACCGCAGTATACCGCTCTCACGAATATTCTGAGTAAATATTTTTCATTATTTCTGTTGCTTGCAAAAGTACTTTGCCTTCGCTGTAATTTTTCTTGAAGAAATAAGAAATGCATATACAAGCGAGCATTTTTTTCTGGAGAGGTGTTAAAAGATTTAAGAAATTTTGATAGAAGAAAATTTATTTTCCATTTCTTTGACGTCATTTTGTATGAGTTTTCCGAGAGCTGTATACTAAGCTTAAATAAGAACAGCGTGAACGGCGAATATTTTGTTCCAAGAAGCATTCATCAGAGAGACAGCGAAATGTTTGGGGATGCCTTTCTTGCAATCAGCCTGAATATCTGATTTTAAAACTTAAAAGATACGAAATACGCATTTAAATTGCTACAGGTAGTTTAGGAAAACTTAACATACCATCAATTGAGATGCGAATCTGGGTCATCGCCTGGCCAAAAAAGTATTTTCAGCCACGAAATGGCGAAATCCCCTTCGCCGCCAGTTGCAAGTGGAGATGCCGTTTTTAAATCGATTAAATCTGAGAGCGATTAATCGAGCCCTTCTGGCCCTTTAGTTCCGACTCGATTAAAAAAATTCGAGAATCGACATTCGATTTTTCCTCAATTGATGTATATTGATCTACGGTTTACCTCAGAAAATCTATAAAATTTTAAATAAATTTTGGCACAAAAATATAATGGGGCTTGACACCTCCCAACTTTTTAACTTGAGCGAGCAAAGGCCAAAGAATTCAATAACCTGCCTCTCTTTCTCCTCTTGGAAATAACTCTATACAAATTATGGGTAATGCTACAACAAAACCTGCAAAAATCGGAATTCGAAACGTTATGGAAATTTTCACAAAAATTTTGCACTCCCTAATTACTCCTATGTATGCAAAAAAAAATCCACTTATGTATATACGTAAGCTACCTTGTATTATACACTTTTTAAAATAGTGGTTAATTTCGTAGTAAAACATACTTTTTTACAATTTTTTTCATTTGTAGTCAAAAAACAAAAATAGCAAAAAAAAATTAAACATTTCCTAAAGTAAGGTTAATATGAATTTCCACTAAGCATTAAATGACAAAAATTTTAATGACGATGTTGGGCATTACGTTCATAAAAATAGCCGTTATTGCGATTCATGAAACAACTTTGCAACTGTGCGAACAAAATTGTATGAACGACTTATCGCAACTCCGGATTGCAAATGCAAATTTTTTTTTTCAAAATGCTGCACATAAGTGAAAAAGAGACGTTTTTAAATTACATACATTGGCATACATAATTTAGCATTTTGTTTTTTTTTCCAAAGTATTTACGAATTGTTGCTACTCGATAGGTTATGAATAAAACAGGATATTAAAAATGTAAGTACGCTTTAAAAATTAAAATAATAGCTTGGTCAGATCACGGTGTTCTGTTTCTTTGTAAAAATTAAGTAAAAGACGATATTTAACCAAATATATGAAACGATCTAGCATCGATTATTTTTATTTCGCTTCGAATCGATTCAATTTTTTTTCTTTTATTTCGATCTGGCATCTCCAGTTGCGAGTCAACTTGGTGTGTATGTAGACGAGTTCACAATCGAACTTCCTTTTATATTCACAGCCAGAAGCTTCAATATTTCTGCAACGAAATCCATCATCCCACTCTTCGTCACGTAAACCAAGGCAATTAGGCTAACCAATCACTTCCCCAAGGTAGGGCATACATATGCATGTCACTTGCAACATTTTACGAGCCATGAACAAAAGCCCTACGCCGCTACCCAACAGCCCGGCTGCGCAGAAACAAGCGACACCTAGTAGAAAAATATTCAAAGGTACCGGAACCGGTGCGGGCAACACCTCTTCCTGACCTAGCACCACGACCCCCGGCATCAGAGTTGCTAACCCTTGCCCATCAACTGAATACGTATGGGGAATGAATACTAGTTTAAGAGATGGGTTTAGGCTAGGTGCCATATTTTCACCCTGGATGTGAACTAATCATAAGAGGTTGTTAGGTGTGGTGTCAATGCGTGTATGCTGATAGCGTGGCGTTTTTTGAGTTGCATATTAGTGAAGAAAGTGGCATTTGCTTAAAAGAGCATTGCCCTTTTAATAGACATAAGCCTAACTTTCCAAAACTAAGTTTGCTTATATTAGCACTAATCGAAAAACGTACATTACCACAAAAAAACAAGGATATTTAAAGCAACGTAAAGAGAACACAAAGGCTACATATATTAGCGGCTATATTTTTTCACTAGGTTGATGGCTTCGCTTTTGATTAGTCTATTCCGCCTGAGGAAAGGTCTATTTGTATTAATTGAATTATGCTCTCGTATGCCGAACACGTATCAAGCAAATTGTAAGTGTAAAAAAAAGAAACCTAACAAATAAAAATAGAACGAATGTCTAGCCAATAAATTAAAGCTTAATAGCTATGGCAGAGGAATGGTATGGAGATATTATGTACTGTCTTAATTTTAGTATTTCAGTATTTATATATATTTTTTTCTTTTACAGTAAACAAACTCCTCACTTACAAATGTACATACATATGTACATATAGCACAATAATAAACAAATAAAAATGGGCAAACAAAAGGCGAATCCGTGTAAATCAGCGCGTTGATACAAGAGTTAAAATACCCAAAGGTGCGAATAGCAAGTCCCAGGTGGCACTTCATTGTCCAAATAGACAACAAAGCACTCCTAATGGCGGACAGAAATGTTTTATTCATAATTCCAGCTGAGGGGCAAGTACATAGGTTACAAGTGAATGATTTCATTTCTTATTTGTTGGTTAACATTTTCTGCTTCCGAGCAAATCCGACAAAACACTTAAATTGTTAGTAAAATCAAGGTACCAAAAAACAAAAACAAATGACACAACAGCAAGCGCTGCTAAAGCAAATAAAATCGACTTACCGCTCCCGCGAGGCACATTTGACACTGAATGTTTTTGCTGTTGTTGCTTCTGTTGTGGTTGCTGTTGCTGTTGCTGATGTACGGTAGTTGTTGTTGATTGCTGCTCCTGCTGCTGCTGATGTGGCGCTGATATGACTACACCTCCTGCGCCTCCACGTGTATCTAATTTCAACTGGACATCCGATAGACATATTTGCGTTTCCTGCTGTGGTTGTTGTTGCTGCTGTTGCGTTGCTTGAGTGTCAACAATTCTCATGCCACTTGTGCCAATATTTTTGTTAGTACTTGCCGCAACTGTATTATGGCTTTTACTGCCACTGACCACCACAACTTTACCCACACCCACACCATTGACGCTCGCATTGTTATTATTGCTTGCGCTATTATTGGCAAACACTGTTGTTGCATTGGCTAAACGAAAATGTGTTGAAGCTGTTGTGGCAGCAACAGCAGCGGGCATCGCCGATTTCTTTGTCATCGCAACTAATGATGGCACATTGCCGCTAGTACGATTCACTGTGATATTGCCCAACCTAGTTGTTGTTGTCATGGCTGAGGCTGACACACCAGCAGTGGTGCCTGTAGTCTGTTGACTTTTAGTGGCACGTGTGAAGCTCAAAGCGCCCGTTTGTGTGTTGGTGCTGACACTAACCGTCTGCGCTGCTGCTGGTGTTGCCACATGTGCCGAGGCCACTGACAACGTTGAGCCCGACGTAGACGAGGAAGCAGAGGAAGATGAAAATAGTGTATTGGATGGCATACGCTCGACGATGTTGTTGTTCGCCGTGGAGACGGCAGTGGAAAGCGATGATGCAGAAGCAGAAGCTGTGAGCGCAGCCAACGATGAGGCAGAAGGATTGCGTATGACTAGTATGGATTGTGACTTCTCCAAGCGTTTGAGTGTTTGCAGCACGAATGGTGCTTTGCTGGCGACACTGTTGCTGCTATCGCTATTGCTGCTCAAACTGCCGCTGCCCATGATGCCGCTGCCGTTACCGCTTTCTTTGGCTCGTCCCAGACGATTGCTGTCGGTGCTAAGGCTGCGCGAGGCCTACAAATAGAATATTTGTATGATAACGAGACTCGATTTTTGCTATGCAAGTAGCAATTACTCACCGTTTTGAAGAGATACTGGCGATCTGCGGCTGTAGCATTGGCGGACGATTTCTTCATATTCGCCGTATGCAGCAACACCGACTCCAATTGGCTAGCATTGATTGGCGTTTGCAGCAGAATGGTATTGGTTGTATTGCCAGTTGCAGTGCCACCGCCGCTGCTGCTGCTGCTACTCCCGGCAACCGAAGCCACTGCACCAGTGCCACCACCGCCACTAGCAACGCTTTCTTTAGTGGCAACATATACTGTGCTTTTGCTTGTTGGTGTTGTTGTTGTTGCATGTGTTGTTGCTTGTATTGATTTGCGTGCAACAGTCGTGGTTGTGGGCAATTGTGTCAATGTTGCAGCAACGTTTGTTTTATCAATTTTCTGTTGTTGCTTATGCTGCTGATGTTCGAACTGCTGTTGCGGTTGTTGTTGTTGCTGTTGTTGTTGTTGTGATGGTGGTTGCTGCTCATTATAAATACTAATAATGCCATGCTTATTCTGTATGACAATCTGTCCGTTCTCATTCCGTGAGCCGCGCAACAATATTATGTTGTTGGTTAACTGCTGCGCCAGTGATTGCTTTTGCGTCGTCTGCAGTTGAAGCTGTTGTTGTTGCTGTTGCTGCTGTTGGTGTTGTTGTTGCAACAGCTGTTGTTGTTGTTGCTGCTGCTGCTGCATTGATGTGGAAGTGTTGTGAGTCGTTGTTTTTGTTGTTGTTTTGGTTGTTGTTGTTTCTTATGTTGTAGTTGTTTTTGTTGTTGTAGCTGTGGTAGTTGGCTTTGTTGTCTTCTCGCTAGCAACATTGTTGTTGCTTGATTCGCCGTTTGCACTAGACGCTGCAAAAAAAAACAAGATCAAAAACAAAATGTTACTCATACGCCATGTAGGAAGAGATTTTTCTGTTTCTATTTAATGTTACGCATACGCCCTGTGCTACTGAGTTCGAATGAAGGTTCATTTGGCTTATAGCATGGACAGACGGCAACGTTAAACCGGATTAACGGCGCAGTTGATCTGATCAAAATTCTACCCTGACAGGCGGCAGTATTGCGGATTAAGCGAGCCGCGAAGTCATGAGTTCGAAACCCACGGCCAGCAAAACTTTAAAAATTTTGTTTAGATTATTCAATTCTTACTTTTATTTATTTTTTTAATGTAGTTATAGTTGCTCTGGTCTTTAAATTCAAAAAAATTTAATTAACTTGCATTCTTTATGTAAAATAACTTTAAAAATACTCTTAAAGGTGTAATTCAAATGAGTTCTTATTTAATTTCAATTGGATTCCTACCTGAATTTGTATGGTGTCCAAGCTAATTTTGCATATTCTGTGTTATCTACGTTCTCTGAGTTTTGGTCAGTGTTGTCACTGAAAATGCCATTGATCCGTACTAAGTTAGGGAATTTAGTGTAGCGCTTAGTCTGGATCAATTCCCCGAGATAATTCCGAATTATCGAGTTTTCGCGGATAAACGCTGCTATCTGTCTATGCTTTTATCGCTGTTAAAAAGCGATGAAATTCGGAAGACCGGATTTTCTCATTTTTTTAGCCATTCAGGCTTTTGCAGGATTCTCCGTATTTTCGCGATATTTTTTCTGGATGCTTCGGTGATTTTTTAATTTGTTGGCAACTTATCTGGTGTCTCTGTGTTTTTTGGGACTTTTCGTGATGTTTTTAGATATGTATATTGAGAACTTTCAGTATATTTTGTTGGCAATCTTCGAGGTTGGAGTTGGCTCATACAAAAATCACGTCATTTTTTTTTTTACTCTGAAATTAAAACCACTCCAAAAAAAAGGTATCTGGATTGTGGATTTTTTTTTTAAATTTATGGAGGATTTTATTCTTTTGAAGGAAAAGATATTGGCGCTTACACATATGTTAGTTTTTTGCCGAGCTTCTCCTCCGATTTGTGCCGTGCGCCTTGATGTTGTCACACAAATGGGTGGGAGACCTACAATTTTACGTCGACCCGAACGGCGATTGTATTTTAATGAGAAGCTGTTTTTCATGGCAGAAATACATTCAGAGGTTAGCCATTGGCTGCCGAAGGGCGATCGCTATTAGGAAAAACTTTTTTTTTTTTTTTCAATGATATTATTTGAGCTTTGTACAACTATTGGTTTGTTAGGAAAAATGGGAAAAACACCGAAGTCTTAGCGGTAGAAATTTTTTTTTTTTTTTCGATGTTGGGTTGAACAGGGCTTAACCCCAGGCATCGCAGCAGCCGCCATATACATATATATATTAATCCATATACATAGGTTTCTCTAAAGATTTTGTGGATTTTTATAAATAGATACAGGTAAAGGGGTTTCACATATTCTAAATTAGTTACAAATTAAATAAAACATCATAATATGGGTTTCAAGTGGACATATTTTCGGAAAATCCCCAGTTCAGAAATATTTTTAGGAAGGTTTCCACTTGTTTTGAATCGTAAATTTATTTAATTTTTTGCTTAGAAAATAAAGTTACAATATTACTATTCATGGTTACTAAAAAAAGAACCTTCAACAAAACTTTACTTATATAATAAATGTTATCCCTTAGGATGCTAGTGTAAAGTTGCCACTTATTTTCGATTCTACAAAATTTAACTAAAATAATGCAATATTCTGGATAAAGGTTACCAGGTTTTTTGGTTGTAATACAAATTTTAAAATCTGATGAATTTCAACAAGCCTTTCTTTGTAAGATATGTACACTTCATCCTAGCCTATTTTTAAATAATGCAATTTTTTAATGCAATTTATTAGATATCAAAAGCTAAAGTTTTTTTAATTCTTCTCTCTCTTCTCAAAATATTCTTTTTGTAGAATTCTGCGGCTTCATATAGGCTAAAATTTTGGCAATATTTTTTGTTTATCAACATAACTTTTTTTTTAGTTTTCTATTTTTATTTTTTATTGCTGATTGCTGAGGTATTTATTAGGCTCAAATATCAAGCGAAAATATACATAAATATGTGTATATTACACAGTAATTCTAAATAATAAATTCCATTAACAGTTATTACATAAAAAAAAAAAAACAAATTATAAATTAAAACTCTCCAAGCGACAATTATTTTATACCCAAACCTTGGAAACTTTAAAAAGTATATACATTTCGAGCAAAGTTCCGTCAAAACTGGTACTAATTATTGAATTGACAAAATTTCCGAAAACAAAAGAAGAACAGTTAGAAGATAAAGTTGAAGAATTTATATATCTAAGTACTTTTGTAAATATGCAGTTGAAACTAGTGGAGAAGAGCTGATAAAACTAAAAGTTGCTGATGTAATAAATAAAAAGGCCTATGAAGAGCTATAAATAGATTCAACTGGTCAGATAAACAGGAAATAAAACGTATTCTGTCGTCGCTCAAAAACTTGATGATGCTACTGAACTGAAAAAGGTAGAGAAGAAGGCGACAAATAGGCTATTGGTGTTATCGCTGAAATCACAAATAAAGCTTAAGATAAGCCACCGTGAAATCGTTACACTTTCACCATCAGTCTTAACCGCACACGCTTCAAACGAAGGTAAATAAAGCCTTTGTTCTACTGGTTCAATGAGTGATACAAATTTTAATATGCGCAACTCTTCCATCTTATTATTGTAGTACACTGACTCGACTCGTTTTTCGATTGTTCCTCGTTTCGTGAATAAATCTCTCTAGACATTCTTTCCTGCCAGGGATAATATATTAAGACAAATCACCTGCTCTAAAACCTGCCTCATAAGAATCATCAAAAATCTGTGTTCTGTTTCCTGCTTCATCAAAACAAATATCATGGAAATTTTTTTAAAGCAGAACAAATATTAGCTGGTGCTCCATGCAATATCTTAGATAAATTTTTTGGTATAAAACCTTTTTTCTCAATTAAGAAATGATTCGAATATTTGTTTGTTTCTTCCGTAAAACAAAAATCATGAAACTCTTTTAAACTATTGGCTACTGCAGTCAACATACCACATAAATCAGGCGGTGTAAAACCTGTCTTATGGAAATCATTTAAAACTTTTGGGTTTTTCTCTTTTCTCATTGCAGCAAGTACTATGCAATCCTTTTAAATTAAAAGAAGCATGCATTCCTGCTCCACATAACGTATTTAGATGATAAGTTACTTGGCGTAAAATCTGCCTTATAGAAATCATCTAGAAGTCCTGTTCTGTTTCCTTTGTCACTAAAACAAACACTATGCAACTTTTCAAAAGCGTCTTTAGCATTAGCTTCTCCTCTACCTAATATACCGGATACATTATGCAGCGTGCAACTTGTTTTCCTATCTATGTCCTCAAGAAAATGTTTTAAATGCTGTTTTTTATATAAATCTTTAAATGCTTTTGCGGCATTGCTCCACTCGTGCTCCACTTAAAATACTGGACATATGAGCTAGATCTATTCCTTCTTTTTCTAGGGTTTATAGATATTGTGTTTTATTTCCTTCTACATCAAACCACAGTTCATATGAACCTTTAAAAGCTCTAGGAGCGATTCCTTCTTTTTCTAGAGCTTTTAAATATTGTGTTTTATTTACTTGCTCATTGAACCAAATATCATATAGGCCTTTAAAAGCTTTTGCATGCATGAGTACGCCATATACGGTAGGGTCATAGAAGAAAATATTAGATATTTTTATTTACTTTTTATTATTATTTATTTATCCATCGATTTTCATCGTTAGTAGCTTGACTTTTTTGCAAAAGAAGTAAAGTCTGTAAATAAATAAGTTTTACAAAAAATCTGTTATATTTTTATTTAATTTTTTCCCTGTTAAAATGTGATTTTTTTCATAAAAATGAAAATAATTATGTTGGGAACATGATCTGATCTAAGTAGGAAAACGATATACAGATCCGTAAAGTACGGCCAAATCTAAAAACATAGATCAGCGTTAGTGCTATGAAGAAATTTCAGTACCTGCAGGCAAAATTCTTGCAGGCTGGGATTAAGGACTCCCCCTTTCCTCGCTTTCAAATGTGCTATTGGCAAATCCGAAGTTAATCGCCCAAGCTATGTAGGTGAATCATTGTGGATATTTGGAGGTGCAATTGCTTTAATGAGCATACAATTATTATTATTATTTTTATCTTTTCCGATGATACAGCTGTAATTACACCTCTATTCGCTGCATTAACTGCAGATTTGAGGGCAAATGTAGGTAAACGTAGATGGAGTTGGAATAAAAGACAAGATATTAGAGATTTTACGGTTTGCAAAAGAGAATTGTCCATCAGAAAATCTGGCAAGTTTTAATGTTTGCGTGTTTAGCGACTTAAAAATGGTTGGTGTGCCTAGTATTTTAAGGAAAAATATCAAGTTTTGAAATGACACAAAAAAACGCCGAAATGCGTAAACTTAATATTGAGTCGTAGATTATGTATACCATGTTTCCAGATCAGATCATGTCACCAAGATATTTTTGATGGAAAAAAATCAAGCGTTAGCAAAGAAGAAAATAGAAAAATAAATCTTTTGTATATTTTTTTTTATTTGCATTAAAGTCCGTTTTTTTTTAATCGAGCTTCATCAAGCATCATCAACGAAAATCGAAACATAAATAAACACCGTTTTAATGGACAATTTAGAATGTGGACAATTTTAAATGTGTGTGTTAAGGAAATTTGACACAAGAAAATGTCTTAGCCATTTCTTGTACGTCATTTTATATGGAGTTTTTGCTTTTTTTGAGAGCTGCATACTGGCCTTAAACTTTTAGTTTTATTTTCGTTCGCAATGCAAACTTAAAATAAAAATATCTTGAGCAAATTTTATATGTAATCTATAAAAACGATATGCAGATACGTAATTCAAAATTAAGCTTATGTATTTTTGTGTCAATTTAGTGT